GGGGGGGGGGGTTGGTTAGGGGAATTACCTTGAATTTCTGAACTATTGTATAATATATTGGTAGCACAACATATTACAGATTCATTATACACATGATGTGAAAGGATATTCCAGCACTGCTACTGAGCATTATCTTTCTGTTTGCACAGAAAAAGGCACTGATTTGCTTCCAGATCTATACATAAATATCTTAACAGGTATCCGATTTTTACAGCAGTGGGGAGCACTAGGGGCTACCAGGTCTCTGACCTAATTCCAGAATACAGAAACATAAATACAGTTCATAAATACAGTTACTGGAAAAAAAATCTTGGTATAAGGAAAATGTTGCATTAACAGAAAACAGTTCCAGTATGCAGCAATTACGGTTATGATTAATAACCATTTACCTATATTCAAAGAATATTGTTTAAGATATATAAGTATGCTGTTGCCTTGTATCTGTAAATCTCACAACAATCTGGGTTAGCATCTGCAGTTTTAACGGTAAAATATAAATTAATCTTGGCAGAATCATCTGTATTTCCAAGTCACTGGAAAGCTGAGAAGTATATACTTCAAATCCAGATGCTCACAGAGAAAACTCAGCTACATAGTCACATAGTATTTGAGGTTGAATAAAGACATTAGTCCATCAAGTCCAACCTATTAGGATCTCATTCTAGGAGTACCTGTACCCCTGTATATTACGGTCCCTTAAGAAATCGTCCAAAAGTTTCTTGAACAATTCCACATTCTTTGCTGAAATCACTGTCTGTGGCAGTGAGTTCCAGACCCTAACTGATCTTACTGTGAAGAACCCCCTTCGCCCCTTGTGCTGGAATTTTTTTTCCACCAATTTTAGGTGGTGGCCTCTAGTTTTTGTAATGGAGTTAATTTTAAACAGTTTATCGCTAATGTTGCTGCCACCATTGAACATTTTGTACATGGAGATCATATCCCCCCTCAATCTCCTCACCTCCAATGTGAACATGTTTAAATTTAGTAGCCTTGTCTCGTAGCTCTGGTCCTCCATACCCCTAATTAGTTTGGTTGCCCTCC